GAGTGCTTCGCACCTTGACACCTTCACTGGTTCACTTCCAAATCTCTCCAAGACTCGGGGCCAAGGTCTGTTCTCTTCAGAGGTGAGATGTCACCCAGTGACACTGAACAGTTGTGCTGCTGCAGCTGGCTTCAATGGACAATAAATATTCAGGGTGCTCCAGGGCTCGTTCCCTCCCCCCTGAAGCCCCTGCACACATCGTAGTAGGGCTAGAGACCGACGTCCTCCTTAAACATAGCAGAGAACGCAGCTTTCCTTTTCTTCTAAGCCATCTATGAGCCTTAACTGTTGAGTATTGTAATTAAACCTTATTCCTTACAACAGTCCAGCTTAAAAGGATAAAAGGTGAGTACCACATCAGTCCTCTGATTTTCCTGGTAGCAAGGCTGCCCGAGTTCTTTGTCGGATTTCATGAACGTGCTGATCACCAATGTTGCTTCAAGCTTGAAGAACATGCTCTTTCTAATTACTGTCTACATATCCTCTTCCAGTTCTGTGCAGCATTTTCTCTGACCTAACATCTGCTCTTTCCACTCAAGTGAAATTTCTCTCACCAAAATCCCTGCTTAGTTCATTTTGCTAGCTAATGGCCAGAACTGCTCTTTTAAAAATTACCTCTCCAGCACTTCGGAAGGCTCATCTTTGTGAGAATTACAGCAAAGCCCTACCAATGGTCCTCTCCTCTGCACCCTTTAAACCTGATTTCTTTCCATGATCTCATGTGCAAACAAAATTTAATTACAACCCTGTACTCTGGTCTGTTCCAAGCCATCAGCACATTCTCTTCAAAGAACTCCCTTGTAAGAACTTCCTTCTTGTTTCCATTTCAGGTCCCTCTTTAGAAACCTATCACGCCATAACATCTACCAAAACTATAAGAGTTAGGCTTCTGTTGTGCTAAGACCCTGTCACATTGACCGATATTATTTTGCAGTCTCCTTGTACTCTCCCATTTATCTATATCAGTTTTATTTCAGATGGCAAGCTGTGTGGCAGTGTTTCCGTTCCACGTGTGCAGCACCTTGCTTAACTGAAGGCTCCTACGTGCTGCTGTAGTACAAATACAAGAAGGGGTTGTAACCCACACCACACCACACCTAAGGGAGTCACAGGCATCTCTTTCTGGGTTTTCTCACAGCTAGCTATGTAAAAAGTCTATTGCACGGCACAAATTCTCAGGAAAAGAATTTTTTTTTTAAAAAACTTAAAACATTCATTTTAGTTGAAACAAGGTCCACCTTCTCCAATGTTAAGACTGCGCTGCATGAGCAATGCAGGAATGTGAACGTTTGTGAAATACCTTTCTTCACCTCACCTTTATGAGCATCATTTTTTGACCTGCCAGTGGTAGAACTGGGAAAGTTTCTATCAGAGAATACAGATCAAAAAGCTTCTGGTGTAGGAGTGCCAGTGGGCTTCACTTGGACTGGTTAAAAAAAATCATCACAACAGAAGTGTCAAAATTATTGAGGATGATGAGAGAAAGGAAGAAAGTCTTGTGAATTTTCTGGGCAGTTTAGAGTTAAAGAAATAAACTGGTCAAAAGCCATAGTCAACAAAAATAAAAGAAATTCTATAATTTCATGCAAATTTAACGAACATATGCTCCAAACTGCTTCATACCAGATCCTGAATTATGTAAGCTGTGCATCATTCAACCTACAATTCTGCCTTTGGCTACACTAGCAGATACAAATACAGGCAGGCAGATACAAAAGAACGGGAACTAAGCACACTCTAATGTCCAGGGAAGGCTAAAAGCCAAGAGACTGAAACGTCCATCACAAAAAAACGCGAAAAAAAGCCTGATACCCTTCTAAAAAACATAACCAACTATCACAGATAAATCTAATCTAGTAGCATCCTGTACAACATTCCCTGCTTAATGATCATTTTACAAGGCAGAACTGGTGCTTTTTATACGAAATACTGTAGCCCAGTCCAGAGGCTCCCAGCCAAGAGGATGCAGAGAAACATTTACTTTCTCTCAAACCAGCGCATGAGGAACAGGAACACAGTGCTGTACAGGAGAGCTGCGGAAAGCTGACCACCATCTTCATCCTCTCCAATAACCCCTCTGTTCCAGCTCTGCAGGACGTTACAGCAAGGGACTCAAGCCCCAGGCTTTGCTGATAAATGAATGTAAACCGTGATTTAAGTAACAGTAGCTTCTGTTCATAAAAATCCACAGTAGCTACTGCATGCTGATAAAGCATCTCACTGCAGCAGCACTTTGAAGAATCGGCAATCTATTATTCCTATTTTCAAAGTCTGCTGACTTTTAACGAAGGAAGGTTCCTACCTTTTACGTGACTTAACATGCAATGTTGCCAAGAAAACTAAAAAGAACACACCCGCTGTGTCTCTTTCACCATTTCCCACCAAACAACAGGGAAAATATTTACTACTTGCTGCCAGCACAAGCAGACTAGTGTTCTTGCTGGTCAGTCACTAGAACCTTGCACCTAACCTGGACAATACTCTGCAAAGGGAAGTAAAAGAATATCGCAAGCAGAGAAATACTATTTCAGTGTGATCAATTTCTTACCTAAATATTTTAAATACTATGTGAAGAACTCCGAAAGAAACGTATCAAGTATTTCTATTCTAAGCAATTAGAGTGATAGAAGGTGCTGTCTCAGCCAAAAGCTCTCCTTTTTCGGGGCGTTCTCAGCAACCGGCAAGCCCGGCGGGGCTCAGCTCCGCCGAGCGCTCTCCGAGCCATCGGCCGGCAGACTCCCCAAACACCAGAACGGTTGCAGGGAAGGTTTTTTTCTTGGGCCTTCAGGGAGAAGGGAAGTCCCCTCCAATCACGCTGGGTATTATGGGGTCCTGCGCTCTTAACTTTCACTACCCTTTTCTCCTTCCATTCTCATCTGCTTAAGCAACCCCTTTTATCCCCTGTAATTGAGCCTGCTTTCCAGATTACCCTCAGATGTAACCCCTTCAATGCCCAGAGGGACTCAACACCCCTTACACAGGGTAACATTCAAGAAGGGTTGGTTTTTACTTCATTCCACTTTTTCCACCTAAATTATCTCTACACTAAATTGTAAGAACTCGTTAGGAAAATTCTTCAGAGAGATAAATTCTTCATTGTATCCCTGCAGCTTTGTAATCTCCTACTCCCTCCAATAAAGTTTTCATTTGAGACTTGCAGTGAAATGACTGAATGTTGTTTAACTGCAGTATTTTGCAGATGAAACAACAGCTGAAATGTTTTTTCACTCCTGCAGCACACAAATTTATGTAGCTACAAACAATAAGGCAAAGTCCTAAATTTAATCAGAAGAAATACTTCAAGTAATGGCAAGCTGATAAATTATGTAGAAGGGGCTCAATAAGACCTGCCAAGGAAATACGCATCAGCTGCGCAGCCTGTGAGCTTTCAGAAACAAAGAATTTTCACACTTGCCCCTTTTAAGGTTTTGTTTTTTTTTTTTTTTTACTTAAGCTATTTGTATTTAACAAGTATTTAACAGATATTGATTCAAAAAACATCCTACAATTATCAGCAGACAAAATAGGATTGCACTGGTAGTGATATCATAAGGCTGTTCATACAGGGTTTATCACAGTATGACACTGGGCAGGCTAACAGAATAAGTTCACTGGTAGTTAGCATCATTTGTGCCTTTGCAATAAGATATTAATGATAGGTATTTCCTAGTTTAAGCACTCACACTGACAACCCAGTAATATTGGCTATTTCAGGAGATTGTAATGATCTGGGCCTTATTTCAGATTGCCTAGTTTTCCCCCAAGTCGTCTCCTTTCTGTCAAATCTTCAACCATTCCAAAACACTGAGAAAGAGACAAAACTAGATGTATTAGTATTTATATGAAAGGTCTAGGAAATTCAATAATGTTCCTATTGTTTTATTGCAGATGGCACATCAACTTCTCTTTATTACTGCAGAAAACTCAAGAGCCCTGTAGAGTGCAATAAAATGGTACGTGTTTAGCTTTGCAATGCTTCAAAGGGCTGTGATTTACTGTTGAGAACCCGGCACCTTGCACACAAGCATCTGAGCTCAGTAATTGCTTCTATGTTTTGTGCAAACTCTACAAGGCAGCGTGAGGTCTGCCCACACATAGAGTACCTGCTGCTTCCAGACGCCTGTCCCTCATTCCTCAGTAACATGGGCTCCGTTATTAAAGAGCGGAGAAAAAGGTTTGTTTTCACCTTTGCATCAAGATGTTTTACTCTATTTGATTTTAGACACTATTTGAATTTTCTCTCCCAGATCTTTTGTCTGCTAGAGAGAGATTAAAAGAGTAAACTGCCAGTGCACCAAAAGGGAAAACACAAAAGTAAATAAGCTTGTCTTAAATATATCCCATATACGCTTAAAGACAAGTCTTTCTTACATACATAGAACGTAAAAATGCAACACTTCTGAAGAAAGCACACCTACTGAACATTCAAATTTAAAGTATTACGTAGAAAATTATCCACAGGTTTAAGTAATGTAAACGTTCCACCACTAAGCATGCTAAGTTTTCTTCAGGTAATGCTTTTAGCTTTTACTGAACAATAAACTCAGTTCTAGTCACCCAATCCAAAGTAAGCAGGTGGAGGTACCAAATATATGCAAGAAGTAAAGAACCTGTACTAACCGTACCTGAGCTCCAACTGCCCTGAATATATTATTCTTTCCCTCAAGTTTAGAGGGGAGACTTTGAATGCATTCAATGCAATAATTTCAGAAGAATATGAATTTTAACAAATCATTGTAGGACTTAGTATTTTAAACAAACACCCCAGACATGCTTAAGCAAAGTGCTAGCCAAGACAGACAGACAGCTAGAAAGCTATCAAGTTTGACAGCTTGCAAGAATTTATTTGCACAGATGGATTAAGGAGGCAACAAATGCTGCAAGACCACTATGCCACATGATAGATACATAACTTTGTTTTCAGTTTAAGTGGAAAGTCTGTCACAGAGAAGGATCATGTCTATAGCTACAGAGGAGAAGCCCAAGGAATATACACTTACTCTTGGCTGCCAGTTTTCATACTGCTTCTGTAAATTTGCACCAATCGTTTCCAGAGCTTTTTGAGGACCCATTGATAGAGGATCTAAGAAATATAACACAAACAAGTGTTTTTGACCACAACTAAATCATTCACCTTGACAAGAGGCAAAAAGTTATTTCCAATGCTACTTGCATTTGCTTTAACACAGACCTCTAGCTACTCCAGGTTTTGTTTCTGTAAAATCTAGATCTACAACCTGGATGACCAGTCTGCACCAAGTGCGACAACACCCTCGGCAGAAGACAGACACCAATCTAGTGCTTTGCGTGCAAGAAACAGGATGTAACGGTATCTTTCAGGCAGTTAGTTAAAAATTTATAAGCATTATATACTCTTCATGGAAGTTACTTCAGTAAAATATCCAAAAATTAGCCCTACATTCTTCACTCAGGTAAAAATTAAAAACCATTAAAGCCTGTCAGATTGTCTTCAAAGTATTAAACATAAAATCTTTTTTGAAAGAGGGGAGAGGCATAACATTTTTCTTTTAATATTGAAAAAAGTTTCTGTAATAATGACAAAAAATTAAATAACCATTTCATTTAAAAAAAAAAAAAAAAAAAAAAAAAGGTAGATCATCTCCAAAGCAGTAAGCAATGGAAATAGATGAAGAAAGGTTTTGTATTTATCAAGAAACATTTATCATCTAATATTTAACTAATTTTTAAGTTAATTTTGCCATTAGGTAATTACTGCCATTCAAGGCAATACAATTTCAGCTTCAGCTTATGGGCTTTATTCAAAAACTGTGGCCATACAATTGATAACATTAACAAATTTCAAAAAAAAACCTAGAAGCTGATGCTTTGCAATATAATATAAATTATTACTTTAACAGCATTTAAAAAAAAATCAGTGAAGTCATATTTTAAATCATCTTTATAAATATTCCACTTCATACCACCAGAAACAAATATTTTAAAGTATGATGAAAGCAGGGGTTTTCTAGTTACTTTTCTTAACAGATTAAAAGCTAGAATTTCATTTTTATTTAAACTTTAATATTCTTTTGTAGACCTGCAGGTTCCTTAGAGCAGAAGGGGTGCTCTGCTTTTACAGCGCCCATTCTGCTCTAAGGAACCTGCAGTTTCAGCAGTCAATGACACACATTTTAGAAATGTCTCTACATACTGCATCAATTTTTGTCACTCTGAACTGCAACAGCCCTCTTGCTATTAAAGGAAAGCTTCAAGCAGATACCCTTGAGCTGCTGAACAGTAATCCCCTGAAAGTACTCACACTGCCTCATAACGCCTTTTGCTAGTTAATATGTCATTAGCTGCTGCTCAAATTAAAAGCAAAACAAAACAAAACCCCAAAACAGCATAAATCTGGCAAAACAGCCAGATTTTTTTGGAGCCCTTCAAAAGGATCAAAACGAATTTCAGGGAAAAAAAAAAATTCAGCAGCAGTCTGACAGCACAAGAACATACTTTGTGGATTCTGGAATACCTTCAGAGCAGTTAGCATTATTAGCAAAACTCTTTATACAAAAATAACGTACATTGGTGCCCTTCTAAGAGCAAAATAGTGAAAACAATTGATTTTCCTAAATAAAGCTCATGCCTTTACAGTCATTATGCAGGCCTTCAACTTCCCTCATTCAGTGTATGCATAAAGCTAATGAAAGGACTAAAGAAACATAGGCCGTGATACCTTCAGTACAACCATGGCATGAAGTTCTCAATGCCTTACACAGTGTCAAGTTGACATTGTAGCACAGATGTTGGCTAAAGCTTAATTTTGGATAAAAACAAAGCACTTGGATGTTTTAAGGGTGCATCTGGAAGGTACAATGAGAACTGCAACTGGCTTCTGATGGCAACTGACTGCCCTTTGTTCCTAGGGTTCACAAGCTGGTGGCCGTGGTTCAATCTCAGAATAGCAATTGCACCCAACATGATTTCCATGCTTTCATCTACATCTGACAGAGATATTATGTTGCCGCAATACACACCGCTAGCTTCTAAGACCGTTATATAGAAGAAGAAAAACGGGTGGATATTTTTGGAGATTACATTTAAAGTTGCCCAGAAAAAGAAATGGGTACTTGTATATATATAACAAAAACTTAATTAAGAAAGTGCATTGAAAATTCTCTTTGTTGATGATGTTAACTAATAACTTTAAAATAAAGACTCCATAATGCCGTTCATTCTCTCTGCTCTCCACCCAATTAAGTTTTTGGTGAGTTCCACATATCTGTGAGAAACGGCAGCTGCTCCTTCCACTGAACGAGGGCATTTGCTGGTGCGTGCTCGTGGCATTTTAAGTGCTTTAATATCATTAGCATGTTTAGGTTAAAAGAAATGCTACAGATTCAACAAGCAGGGAGGCAAGGTTAGAAACAAGAAGCTCTAGAAGTTTTTAAAGGAATTCAGTTTGTGCAATGATTAATTTGCTTCTGTAGCCCATTAAAAACTCCAGAGTCTAGGATTACAAGGGTCTGCATGTTACTTGCTGAAGAGTGAATGTTTTCATCTCCTAGTTTAAAAACAAATCTCTCCTAGACAGCTTTCTTACACAAAGTAATTGCTTCTAATATTACTTCAAATTTGTCTCATCCTGATAATTAGATTTGACCCACAAAACCAAGGGAATTTCATTTCTTAGCAAAAGACTAAGAATTTAGTCCAACACCGCCTCAAAGTAGCAAGCCTTTGCGTTGGACTGCTGGCAAGATGTTCTAGGAAGAATTTGGGGTCTTCTAAATTCATGCTAAATTCATGCTCTGCCACAGAGCAGTCTTCTCGACATGCAGTACAGCTCATGTATTTTACAGGCACTTATTTTTCTACTATATGATGCAGAGTTATTTTAAACCTTTGCAGATCAGAATACTCTCAAGATGCAACTGTTCAGAGATTTGCTTAGACTTTTATAAATCTACAACAACAACAAAAAAGCTAAGTAGCAGCTTTTTTTTAAATCTCCATGCTGTCTCATTTTAGAGCAAAGCTGGGAAGATGACCTACAGCAGCAGTTACCACTTGACACAATTAATTCATATAGACACATTCAAATTAGATGCCAGAGATTACCTTTTGTTTACCCTAGTTTTAGGTCTAGGAAACATATGACTGAGACCACAGTATATGCTATACTTCAGGATTCGTAAGAGTAACAGTTAAGCGCAGTTTGGAAATTTTCAAGACTTACCTATCCAGCACTCCAGACGGGCACAGGGAGTTGTCTTCACCACATCAGGAGGATCCACGCCAACATTTAGGCACAAAACTAAGGCAACACTAACAGTCTTCATCTAGAAATAAAAGACAATAAATGCTTACTTAGTATAGAAAGTAATCAATTTTTATTTGTGTTAGAATTTTACTACTACAACAACTTTGGAAGAATTTCAACTAAAGCTTCATTATCTGCTCTTTAACACGGACTATTTTAAGCAAGGCACGACTGACTGTATTTTCTCCTTTTTTTAAGTATACCGGTACTTAGATTTTACGTTACTATTTTTATCATTTCCACAGCCCTTTCTTCAACTATACAGCATGGAAATAGATATCACTGGACTTCTGCTAAGCATCTTAAATTAGTCAATGTCTAACTGAAATACATTATTAATACAAGTGAATGTGCTATTCAGGGTTCCTGATTAACATTAGAATATAGAATGCCCTTTCTAATATTATGTCCAAAAGAAATAAGAGGAAAAAAACACCTAAGCAACCAACAAATAAAGTTTAGCCAATGTTTTCCTGTTTTCCTAAGACCCCTAACATGTTAGTTATCCTGGATATGTCTTACAGTTCTCTGAAAGTATAGGGTGTATTATAGACAAGAACCTTAGTGCAAGGTTCTCTTATCCAAAGGATTTACTAAAGGATTTTGTGGGGTTTTGGGGTTTTTTTGTTTTTGTTTTCTAATATTGCCATTTTCAGGAGCAGTTCTGTACTTTGCTACCTTTTATTCTTCTGTCCGAAGTTCTGCAGTGGGAGAAGTTTTGGTAGACAAAAAGGGATATCTTGGAAATCTGTGTGCATATACAAGATCTCCCCACGCACACTGTCTACACACTGTAGGAAACATTTGGTATCTTGAAACTTCTACTCAAAAGTTTCCCTTTCAATTCACTTTAAAAGTTCACAAACCCTGGAGAGATACCAACCCTGAAAACCCTAAGTGAATGTTGCTGATGGTGTTAATCCTTCCGTAACTACGCAAGTCCTGTAGCCCCAGAATTCCACTAGCTGTTATTTCATCGTCCTTTAAAATCAGCCTCCCCGTAAGAAACCTGGCATGATCGAACATACAATTCCTAACCTTAGTAACTGCACCAAAACTGAATTACAGACATCCAAAGCAATACAAAAACCCTGAAAGAAACAAAGCATTTCCTGTTAGAGGAACAGGAGCGTCCTTGGCTAACCAGATTTAATTTCTCTAGGAATCTCAATGCTCCTGTTACATCAGTCCTACCTGGGACCTGAAAGGGAGATCACCAACGAAAGCAAGTGCCACAGGTTCACTAACGCATTATTTCTCTTCCCGTCAAAGCTGAAATAATGTCTGAGCTTGCTATTACATACCAGTTTTCGGATTCTGTGTACATGACAAGTTTGAGATATGCCTGACTGACACTGTCTTCATTTTAGTCCCTTCTTCTCATGTTTAGATCCTCATTGCAAAAGAAAAACGAAGAAACCACAGCATAATAAACTTGTAACTTTGTTCCTTAATTAATGAGATTACTATAAACATAAGCAGCTTTTTAGTGAACAGAGTCCCTTTTAAGGGATTTATTCGGGCAGTAACAATCAAGGACAACATTTTCAAAAAACGTTTCCAAATAGAAAATTCAACTAGCGTCTTGGCTGCAAAAAATATAGTTCCATTAGTTAAAAGATATTACTATTAAAAACTGTATACTGAAATCATGCCAAAGGCGTTTTCCCATGAAGAAATGCACGATGCCCCCAGGCACAGAGTTCGGAAGCGCTCCTTCCTTCGTACGCCACGCCGGCGCGCCAGGAAAGCCTGCACGGAGGCGAGGCAAGCGTTCCTACAAGCCTTTCCTCCACGCACCCTTTGCATCACAGCCATAAAAAGATTACATCCAAGGAAGCTTATGTCTTTAAAATCTGCCTTCATCTAAAATAAGATTCTGTTGTTAGAAATGTACATTATAAGAGCAGGCTACCGTATTTGCTGTTCCAGTTCTTTCGAAAGGCAGGGATTGCAGCGAGGCGCGCTGATACGGCACGCCTGTGGCTGCTACTCACGACGCCTCGGTGTTCTTATTTTGGGAGAAATCACCACTTAGCATGGTCTTGCTGCTGATTCAATAAAACAGCATAAAACTGATCAAGCAGCACTTTTAGACGTGCTGCTGTAGCCACAAGGGGCACCATGAACACAGGAAATCCAAATTTATTGATATCTTAACTATCACCTAAAAGGAGCATTAAACCAACTCTTAAACGCTGCAGCCAGTTAAAAATATTGTTTGAAAATTATTTTGCAGCCTTATGCTCTTCTCTAAACTCTCCTTCACACCAATACCTAAACCAGAGAAGGAAAACAAAAGAAATAGCGTGGTCTGCTGGCCCTCCGTGGCGCGGCTGCGGGAAGCCACCCGCACCTCCTCCTCCCCAGGCCGCTCCTTCAGATTCCAACAGCAGGCAAAACAAAAGGGAAAAAAAGAAAAAAGAAAAACCCAAACCCCACACTTGCTGAAAAAGCTAGATCCACATAAATGTATAATTTATGAAGAAACTAGAAACTGGAGCAGAGAGACTGTTCGCAGCAGGAAGGGGGGGGGGGGGGGGGGGCGCCCGTCATTTTCAGGGAAAAAATTCTGCAGCCTCTGCTGACTCCTGCTTCTATCAAAGGGCTTCTGCCGCGGAAAATTCGCAAGAGGGCTGGTTAACGGCTTCATCCCAAGCCGTGTTCTCGAAAACAAAACCCTGCAATCACGTACAAGTTATTTTGGCCCGCACTACAGCACCAAGGGGTAAGCGGCACTCTCCAGAAGGCAGGAGAGAAGCGCAGTCTGAAGGGAGATTCCTCGCTGGCATGCCGCAAGGGCATTTCACACGTTTGAGAAAACCCTCAGGGCTGATCTACTTAAAGTTAGGAGCAAGATATTTCAGAACGCTCTGATACTTTATGAGATCTTTTTTTCCATGACACAGAAACTAACAGAGATGTTTGCAAGCCACAACGCATAAGCGCACGTGGATCAGCTGAGTAAGTCCATATTTGAAGTTCAGCAATAAACACAAAAACACACGCTAAGAGCGCTCTGTAGAAACTGAGAATAACACAAGGTAAAAGCACAGCCACTGGCACAACGGAGGATACAGCTTGGTCATCCAAAGCGACCCGAAGCTCCGCTGGCCCTACGGAAACGGCACGGAGACCGTGCTGCCTGTAGCCGCCGCGGGGCTGCCGCCACTCCGAGCGGACACCGGTGCTGACAGCCAGCTCCATCCCTTCCTCTTCCCCTGAGACTCCCCCATCCTCCTCCCCTTCTAGCTGCTCCTCTTTTCTTCCACTTTATCTCCCCTGTCCCCTCACTTTCCTTCATTGAGTTTATCAACACTAAACTGCTGCCTGCAAAAATAAGTTGTGCCATCACCGCGGTGCCGGTGCGGCTCCCGGTCACTCCCAGCGGCTCCCACCCTTCCCCGCCAGTTTGCGCGTTGTTTCAAGAATAATTTCTTCAGGGAGGAGTAACGGCAGCCCTGTTCTTACAGAACCTAGCGCAAAGGTCTCACTATTGGTTTGCTACAACACAGGCTCTAATAAAAACAATCCTGCAACAAGAGCAACAAAAAGCCCCAATATTTTTATAAACACAACACATGAACATGTTCTTTTTTCCCACAAAAGTGCAGTTAGGTTAAAAAACAACAAAAAAACCCTCTCAAAGTCATCAACGTATTTGTCTGCTGATCCAAAACACACACGGAGAACGAGCGACCCGGACAGGACGACCCACGACGCCGACTACAACAACGCCCGGCACCGGCACGAGGAAGTCTAGTTCCAAAACTTGAAATTTCTCAACTCGTCCTGTGCAAACTTTGTATGTCATAAAGATGGCCTGTCTTTTAAAAGGAATCAGACACTACCTGAAAACCTCAAAGACAAAAGCTACATGCACCTTGAAATACCGGAAAATAAATTACTGGGCTCTGCGAACAAATTAGCTCATGCATGGTGAAGGCTGCTAGATGCGAGGTGGCGATAGATCAAAACAGTCCCCTTTAGTCTTAAAAGCTACGAGGGAGTGTTTTTAACGCTTTTTCTCCGGCAAAGCAGACGTCTGGCACCTGATATCCCGGTGCCTTGTTTCCCCTCAGCAGAGGCACGCGGCTTCTGTCCCGCCGGCCCGTTTCCCATCCCCGGGTGACTATTACACCCAATGAAAACACTGCATTCCTTCGATGTTGCAAAAAATAGTAACTACAACATGCAGTTGGAAAGTTCTCTATTACCTTTGGGAAGATACTAAGTGAAATTCTTATCTGTTGTTAAGTGGTGCTTTTCAAAATTATTTAGTGTCATCTTTTTCTACCTTCCCTTTCATTAAACCCACCTGATATGCCTGAAGTATCAAGAGATACACAGTTCCAGAAGAATTTTCTGCTCAACCTGCCTGTAGACTAGGCAAAGATAAGAAATATTTAATGTAAGATCTTAAGTAGACAACCCTTTACTATTTCATGATATACCAACTATGCCCATTTGTAAAGATTAAACATTAGTTCGAGCAGTACAATCCAGGAAAAAAGAAAAACCACAAAACAAAACATCTGACCAGTGCAGAACTATTTGCATCGACTGAGAAGGAGCTTTAATCTGAGCCTGCACACAAAGACATCTTTTCATCTTTCCAGTATACTAAATCTATTATGAATTCACACAGCCCCAGAAAGAACGTTGTGTCATATAGCGCGCTAGCGTTGCTACGAGTAATCACACGCTGGCGAAGAGGCACTGACATCCAGAAGAAAATAAAGAGAACTACATACACAAGGCAAAAGAACTTATTAGAAGTGAAAACTTTCTCTTGAAAGAATGATTTGTATGTATTCTTCCAAACAATCTTTTCTCTCTCACTTATTCAGCGTTTCCCCTTTGTGGCCTAACGCTGCTTTATTTTTCAATATTTTACTAGTAGCGTCTGATCCGTGGCTATTGTTGTACATGCCACTATTTATTTTCTATTCCTGAGCTTTGTCTTTTAAATAAGTATATCTCCTTGAAAACACACAGTAAACTGGTATTGAAAAGTAA